GTCATCAGTAAACCGGTGAGTTCTTGCTGGGGATTATGCTGATTATGGTGCTTTTACATGGTCATATATTGCTTTATATCACTTTATATTACAATGTGACGAAAACCTTTCCTATATATTACGATATATAACGATATATGACGATATCTTCTTCTCACAGGTTCTCTGATGGTGGGACAGATGGTACAGATGGTGGGTAGCGTGGATGGTTCCATCCGCACGGGTACGGGTCAGAGGACGTGCTAAACAGGTGTATCCGCAGGTATCCGCGGGTAGTCAGTACTCAATATCTTTCGGCCGAGTCAAACTCAGAACTTGTTACCGAACTCCCACCCAATGTCAAAATCAGATTTGTTGTTATCAGAGCTATCAAAATGTGATATTACTTCTAAGTTTTCAATGTTCAAAACTCGATGTGCAAAATGACCAGTCCAATTCCACTCTTCGTCCTCAATCAGATTTGTCTCAATGGCGAGGAGGCGTTGTATTTCACCAGCAGGTACTACATCCTCGGCACCCAGGTCACCAGCTATAGGTCCACCTCATCATAAACAACCAGCATCTCCGACATCGATTCCTGTTCTGCAATCTCCCAAAAAGAAGCGACGAGCCAAAGCAGAAAAATCTGACCTTGACATTTGGGACGAGAACGACAATGACATCATTGGTATTTCCTTGCATAATCTTAATGTTAAATGTAGCTCATTGTCATTTTAGAGGCATCAAAGGCACACTGGACTTCAGCAGTCTATGATCACTACGAAACGTCGCTCAGGTGCCATACCAAAGGCGAATTACGGATCATATTTTCCCAGGATCCGGAGAGCTTTACACTAGTACTCCAGCAGATCTCAAGGCACCAAGTACTATCACTGACGGGGTTTTTCAAAATGGGTATTGGGTTTCAAAATTCGCTGATCATCATATCGCAAGCTACGCACTGCACAAAAATATTCTGCGATTTTAGCCAGTGTTCTCTAGTGTCTATAGAATACAGCTGTGAAGATCCTATAGAAAACATCGAGCAGTTGTGTTCACAATAAATCATCCATTGAAATATGTCACACCACTGAATGTTAATGATTGTAATGCTACAATCTATATACTTTGTCAAACAGGACAAAAACTATGTGAAAACAATCTCTGTCCTTATACAAATGATGCTTACCACTGCGATTTCTATATCATGATTGAGTGAGGGCAGAACCATGTTATCAGTGAAGTTGTTGAAAGAGTGGATGCTGCACCGTGACTATAGTGCAGCATCAATTATAATCTCCGCTCAAAAACTGTACATCAAGTAAGACCCGTCGATAGGGGAGGTGTATCTTATAGCAGGCTGCCTCCAGATGGGCCAGGTCATTACTCACCAGCGCAATGACCTGGACTGTGAGTTTAATCCTCGTTGGTATATATCCTACATCCAGTCTTTGATTATACACTTTTGTGAACATACTCACTCTCAATCTATTACTATCATATCCTTTCCACTTAATGCACATACATACATTTCGATTTACTTACTGTGGATAGCTGGTCTATATAATGTACATGCACGAATCCATAGAATCTTTGATTTCCTTCAAACACTCGTTCAGATATTGAGATTCAAAATTCTGCCGAGTGTACCGTTGTGGAGCTATAAAACTCCAGTGTGATATTGCTGTGACAAATTTTGAAACAGCATATCCAGTCCCTGCCAAACTGACATCGCACAACCGGATTCCTTCTGCTGCTTGAACATCATCGCAAAAAAATCAAATTTCACCTGGGTGTGATAGAGCATGATTTTTCCCACAGGTCTGTCAAGAAGCGGAAAAAAAAAACTTCTTGACGAGTGTGCTACGCTTCAAACATTGAAAACCTTTGAAAAACCCCACCAGTGATAGTACGTGCATCAAGGAACTTACGCATGTACTAGTATCAAGTGATGAATGACAAAGATCAACTACGTCAATGATAATGTTGGTAGTGGTGAGTCTGAGAGACGATGTTAGATGTCCATTGAAAATGTCGATTGATGCGCACATTAATTAAAATTCCTGCCTCAACTGCTACACTGCAGCTGCTATGCACATAATGCGGCCTTTGGCAATGAATATTAATGAATACTCAAGCTCAGATGAATGGTGTGGCACGAATGATGGTATTGAAATCGCTCCTCATGTCTCTTCAAGTTAGTCAATATCACATATTCAAGTCACGAATTCAAAGGCACTTCCATTGCCTATGAAGCAGGGGAAATTGTCTACACTCCAGGAACAACTACATTGACCAAGTCAGCAACGGACTATATATTGTGTCATCAGTACAGCATTAATGCGAAAGCAGAAGTACGATTCACCATCCAGATGTGCTTAAGCAATGTCATGGGTATCTGGCACCCACTGTGGGTCGTGGGTGTGGGTACCCAGGGGTATGGGTGAGGGTAGGCACTTAGGATACCCACACCCCTACCCACACCCACATGGTGGGTATGTAGGCAAAAAAATTATCTTTGCACTGTGATATGTGATTCAACTTTGTCAAATATGCTAGTAGTGGTCTCAGTGAATGGTATGCCTAGGTTGAATAGCCAACAACTTCATTTTCAATAATACTATCTTTGTCATCTATGTTGATTCCATTTATCATGTTACATGTAGACTATAGAAACACAACTTTGAACTTTGGCTCAGTAGTGTTCAATCTATATGTTACTGATATGTCAACTAATTGATAAGATAAACTAGCCATAGACTCACCTTAAATAGCACTACAATTTTCATCAAGATACATAATGATAATAACAACCTGTGTTTGACTAAACTCATCAATATGTATTTTTATTTTGCTCAAATTACTACTGATTAACAAAATAAGACTCACAACAGACTTGTCTCAACTAGTATTACAAGGATAATGTCAACTTTTATTTTTGCATTTTTCAGAGACTTACTGGTGTTGGGTTTTTATTTAGCTTTATCTCTCTCAAATGACTGCCAATTAACAAGGTGAGACTAGCAATATATTTGTCTCCAGTATTACTACAACATTCATTAAGATATCTAAGTGTGTAGTACCAATCGTTCATGTGATACCCATGGGTATACCCTCTATGGGTGTGGGTATGGGTAGCCATCCCTGGTACCCACGAATAAACTCACACCCACCAGTGTGGGTGTGGGTTTTTGGTGGGTGTGGGTGGGGGTATCACCACAGATACCCATGGGTATACCCACGTCATTCCCTAGATGTGCTCATAGACAGGTTGCCAGCCATCAGTAAGCAGTCTTAGTTGCAGATCTTTTGACCGCCACACTATTGACAGCAAGGGGTGGTGAGCAACGGAGTTGAATCCTGGCTGCAAAACAAACTACTCGTACTCACCACCACCAGAGCATAGTTATGACTGCAGCAATCATTGTTGATGCAGCAGGTCTTCAAAGTGGGCTTGCACTGTGCAGCGACAGACATACATGCTGCTAAGGAGTAACAACTACGAGGAAGGAGAAATGCATGATTTATGCGAAGTGATACAAGCTTTGTAAAAGAGACTCTGGGCTACTGAGGCAGACGAAGCTTGCTTTGATACACAGGAAATTTCATTTTGGGAAGAACTTCCAAGAGGTTCTACCGCTTTGGAATATTGATTCAACGCACCTGGATGGCAGGACTCCACAACGGATAGTTTAGGATGAATTCATTGGAATCCCAGAATCAGAACCTGCCTTGGATGCATATATCTCCAGTTGATTCATCGTTGGCCACGTCATCTCAAAAGAATGAAAGCCTGAGTATCCAGTCTAGATCATTAATAATCTCATTTAGTAACATGAATGGTATGAACTAGACAAGAATGACTCACATAGTAGAGACTTCACGAAGAAAACTACAAGACAGCGTGATCCAGAAAAACCTACTCCAGCTGGTTGTCATCATTTGAAGTCCCCCCCTCCTGGCTGCGTTTCTCCATTGTCTTTCATCTTGAACGACATTCATGACAAGCTCTAAATAATGCAGTGCGAGTGTCGACGATCCCGGACAATCGCCATGTTGACAAAGGCCAGAATCCACCTCTGCACATTGAGGCCCCGATTTGGTCCACAATCTTCACTGACACCCAGAACGGTATACCATATGAAATTGGACATGAACGTCCACACCAGTACAGTGAGCAGGGATGGGTCGAGGTTGTAGAGTTTATTCAGATGTACATGGCCAGCGCAGCTGATCCAGATATACTACGATGACCCCCGAAAGGGAACATATGACTTTCCGGATGCTAGGTGAGCACGCCATGCCGAGGGTTGTGTATTGACGACAGCTACTGCAGAAACTCCATGAGCGGCTACATGACAGTGTCTATAGTGATGCAGCAGCAGCAGATTATACCCATAGAGACTACTCCAGTAAGAGTATAACTGCGACTTGTCAGACTGTCATGATCGTAGAAAGCTGAATCAGTTCTAGTCTCAGCGGTGAACATTGCATAAGATATTGTTGAGTCAAAGCCATCCTGAAAATTTGGGAGTGCATCATACGCAATAAGTCTGGAAAGATGCCAATGATCTTCTATTAAATTGGAAGAAATTGCTATGAGAGAGAACATAAAACCAGGTTTAAGCCAGGCTCCTTCCCAGCTACTGCTTCGAGTATGGAGGGCGGCTAGGCGTGCGGAACTGTCCGAAATCACGTGAATAATTAAAACCCAGCACAACCTTATTCCCCTCACACTCTCAGCAGCGGCTGGAAGATAACATTTGTAAACATCGTCAGCCACAGTGGTTGAACCATCGGAATGTGGAATTTATTCATGGAGAATGAACTTAGGGTTAGAAAGACCTAGGCATTTTTTGTATTAGGCAATTGAAAAACTTGTGCTATGTAGACGTAGCAACATGTGTTTGCCATTAATGGCTTCGGCTGCTCCTATTCCAACTCTCACTTTCAATACAGATATTCCTTCCTTAGCTCAGATCCAGATTGTGACACAAGAAAAATTTGCAGTCAGAGCTTATTTATGGCAACTGAAGGTTGCGGAGGCACTCCTGAAAGGCGACCATGATGTACTCTGTACTGCAGGTACAGGAATGGGCAAGACACTAGGTTTCTGGATAGCATTGTTATTCTGTCAAGGTATACAAATTGTCATCACACCTCTGAATATGCTTGGCAAGCAGAATGCAGCGTCACTCGCCAGGGCAGGCATACGAGCTATTTCGATAAGCAGTGAGACCGCAACCCCTGCAAATTTTGCTGTGAGTCTGGATCTGGACTGCAAAACTTTTACTCACTGAATAATACCCCAAGGCTATTCATGCGCTCAAGTACCAAGCGGTACCTGTTAGCCCCAAACAGATTATTAAACCCAACAGAGAGTTTGAGAGGCTAGTAGTAAAGGATGAGTTACCAAACTTGTTTGATTGTCTAATACAAAAAATGCCTAGGTCTTTCTAACTCTAAGTTCATTCTCCATGAATAAATTTCGCATTCCGATGGTTCAACCACTGTGGCTGATAATGTTTACAAATGTTATCTTCCAGCCACTGCTGAGAGTGTGAGGGGAATAAGGTTGTGCTGGGTTTTAATTATTCACATGATTTCAGACAGTTCCACATGCCTAGCTGCCCTCCACACTCGAAGCAGCAGAAAGTCTGGGAATCTGAATTTCCGGCAGTCCGGGTCTGGTGGTCTACGGGTCTGTCCAGTCCAACCGCCTATGCCCGGCTCTGTCCATCTCAAGTAGTGATGTAGTCCACTGATAATCAAGATCGAACACTCAGTACTCAGGCCTCAGGCATCGACGCTCGACTCGAGACACCGAGCATGGGAACTTTCCATGGCTTACTGCAACATCTCGAGAGCCAGCCTGATGTTACTAGCTGTAACTCTATTACTACCCTTTTTTGTTTCATTAGTATCACGAGCCGTCTCAAAGAGGACATAATCCTCGTACAACTGGCTCAAGCCTCCATCTCTGAGCCCCCGCCTGTGTTATCCCCTGCCTTCAACACTTTCCTTGCCACGGCATGCTCTATCTCACCAGTGCAAGCTAATGATGTGTGGATGCTCTTACAAGATGTCATATGGCATGGTGCCATTGACAAGGATCTCAGTTCAGTGTGGGTGACCGATGCACCACGGAGGGGATTTGGTACGTTCACGCACTGTCCCACTTGTTATTGACTGATGTCACCTTTAGCTGAGTACCTCCTTTACCCACCAACCCAATACTGCACCCAGCCTGACTGCCCCCGTTGAATCAAAGCCATGACCCTGAAGAAGGCCGAGCAACAAAATGTTGTCCTGTTCATCCTTGCACATGGGCCATGTGCTGCACAATCTGTACACCTTTACTGCACAGGTAACTACTACATTTCACACTCTAACTTTTCTTCCTCAATCTCTTCCCTTCCAGACTGTCAGATTGATTACCGCCACAACTATACCATGTCTGGTGGTATTCGGACCTACTATGACAAACAGCCCGAGACCATCCAGGTTACGGATCATGTCTTCATGGAGAAAGATGTGGTTGAGCTCTTCAAGATGGCTATGGATGTCTCATGGTAATTGTTTTTTTGGCTTAGATGAATCTATCGAGACTGACATGGGAGATCGCACACCAGGACTTCGGCAACAAACTGCGCACAACTATACAATATGTGCCTCTCACAGGGAAAATGTGCACCAGACGGCTATCTTGTCAAATTTGAGATTACTGGTGACCACGTCTGGAATGCATTTGTAATCACTACACTACTCGAAGACCGCAAGCGCCACATGTGTTCCCTCACTGTTCCTCAGACTGGCAACCAGTGGGACTGGTTCACGCAAGTGATGATAGATAGGAATCACCGCATTCAATTGTATGGCTTTGAAGATGTCCATCGGCACTACTGTAATAGGTGTACTCGAATGTATGCCAATGACCAAGGTGTTAGTGAGTGCTGTATTGTAACATCGATGACATGTACTAGTAGCTGACCTACTACTATGTATTTTTAGCCACACACAAGGTCTCTGTCGTGGTTGTCGATGGCGTAACCGTTGGTCACCCATGCTGTGCAGTCCACAACTGCCACACTCCACTGTCGAACAACCACCACCAATTCTGTCCAGCTCATTCTAGCTATGATGGCACGTGCTCCATTATTGGCTGTAACCTACCTGTTGTCCCTGGCCATTGTACATGCTCAATGCCAGATCATAAAAATGTTGAGGGAACCTATGAGTTGCATGGGCAGTCTCGGTTTCAGCTCCAGGAACGTCTTGCTTGTGCTAGAGTTGCTCACTCTAACAACACTATCAGTCAGGATGTCGAGATCTCAATGCTACACCTGCCAGATGCTGAAGAAGAATACGAGCTCAATGAGACGGGTACCTTAGCACTACCTGTTGTCGATGGTGGTGACCTGACTCCTGCTGTCAACATTGGTCATGGACAGTCCACAAGGTGAAGACTGGAAGCAATGTCCGGTCGCTGAAGGACACACAATGAACAACTGATGGTTGCACCATGTGGCATGATCATTGCATGCAGACTTTCTTTGGGGCAAAGGGAGTGGCGAGTGTTGTGGTATGTAGAAGCCATTGTTTCCTTGGGTTTGATCTTAAAAATAATCTTACTGCTTCCCTTCTAGCAATTTATCAAGAATGTCTATGCAGGTAACGACTCAATGAAGCCTGACCACATCTTCTTCAATAACAACTGCACTCTTTCAAAAATGGTCAAGGATGACCCATTCTTCGAGGGCATTGGCTTGTCAGTGGACGTGTTTCACTTTAACTGCAAACACTCAGAGAGCGACACCATCAGTGAACACCTGAGTCCTTGACATTGTAGCCTGTGAGAATTACACGAGGGCTCAATTATTTTACTGCCAAGCATGACCTTATATACTACAAGAAATCAGATTTGTTCTTAGCTAGTCATGTATACTTATGACTATAGACTGGCAAGAGGAGTTTGTGTCAAAGTCAGTGAGATATTATCAATGCAAGCAGCAAGGGATGCGAGTGCCTTCTTGTTGTTGTTGTCGGACAATCTCACCTGATATCATTTGTGCTTCATATTAGAAGGTTATTCAAGACTTTCCCAAGGACAGTCATTTTAGAACGGGCTAGCAAGGATAGATTCATGTCTCAGTTCATGACAAAGCCATGAGATATCACTGCCGCAAGCAGCAAGGGGTGTGATGGCCCACTTATTGTTGTTGTTGAGCGATCTCACTTAATATCATTTATGCTTTATCTAACATATATAAGCACGAATAGCCGCCGGCTCGGTGTCAATTGTGTCCACCCTGTCATGCTGTGCAGCTCTGGACACACGCTCTCATCTGTCTCAGGTTTGCTTTTCATCAGTTTTCTTCCAGCACTGACAAAGCATGTGCTTTTTTTCCCCTCCGCATGGCCTGGCGGATGCTCGCGCGTGCCTTGACTGTGCCTTTCTCTTGCCAATTCAATGAGAAAATTTTGGAATCTCTACCTGGTGATTACTGTGAGTAATGAATGATAATGCATTGAATGAGAACTGAAAAATGCCAAGATTGCTATCTAAGTTCAGACATTTCAAAAGAAGCGGACCACGCACCTTTTGACGCTCCTAAACAAACATCAAACTACTCAGCCACGCTTACTGCACCCGGAATGCCTTCCCATCGACTGGATCGCAAAATAAACTGTATATGCTGCCATACAACACAACCTCTCAGTGGAAAAAAGGATTGGTGAGGATTGCATGTGTATGAATAACTGCCCTACATCGTCGATTCATTGAAGTCCAACTGTTCCACAACCTCAAGAACCACTGTATCCCACGTATCACATTTTCCTTCCACCCCTATCGCTCAAGCTGGATAGTGAATCGCAAGCAGTTCCCTTCAAGACTGGCTTATGCGACAACTTTCAATGGATGTCAAGGCCTCACGCTCTCTCGCACAATTCGAGATCTCAGAACTGATCCTTTTGCGTGTGGTCAACTATATACCCCACTGTCCCGTGTCAAAAACTGTCAGAATATGTGTGCTTATGTTCAGGAGTGAAGAATGAGGACAGAGACAGATACAGCAAATATAAAATAGAACACAACGACCGAAGGTCATTGCTTGTAATCAAATATCATCCAAGGCTTTTCAAAGGAAAGTCATTTTAGCACTAGCCAGCAAGGATAGATTCATTGTATGTTAATTCGTGACAAACTCGTGAGACATCACCACCACAAGCAGCAAGGGATGGGAGTGTATTTCTGTTGACACAGTTGAGCATTATCAGTTGCAATCAATTGCGTGTCAAATTGCAATGCCATTCAAGACATCCCAAAGCACACTCACTTTGGCACAGATCAACAGGCGTACATTCGTGTGCTGCTTCAAATGAAATTACTGAATGCAGCCACAAATACCAGTACGAGCTAATGGCACACACATGAAAAGGAATCACACACACACAGTATGATTGAATTGATAGGAAACACAAACAAAATTGAGTGTCAAATTCTGCTGCAAGCATCCAGTTCCAAATCTACATAAAATAACATGAGATAGTATATGAAATTCACTGGATGCCGTGACAGAGAGACTGGGTTTGGACAGCGATGACTAGGGCTTGGAACATCTGGAGTTAAAGGTATGCGTATGTACGCTTGGCATTGAGCACAGGACCAACATAGATTCTAGAAGCACTAGTAGTCAGCCAAGTAGATAACCATATGAATGTTCCTCTAGTAACTTGAGTATGGCCGCGCACACAACCTGAAGAACCGCTGGCAGCTTAAGAGACATAGCATGAATGTCATGGACATGGAGAATAGACCAAAAATCATTGAGGACAAGAAATGTCAAGCAATGATAAAACTTACCTTTCACGAGTTCCCACCCGATTGAATCAACACTCTCTTCACAACCAAACTAAACCGAAAAATTGCCCGCCATGTTCACTCAGACAAAACGTGAGTCACAATCCACATGTTCGATTTCTCCTCCGTCATATCCATGGGAGCTCTGACGAGCACCATGTGAGAGTGGTCATGGGTAGAATGGATCAGATGGCTTACCTGTGGTTTGTACTCTGAGGCGTGGTGAATGTTGGAATCATTGCATAGCTTGATGCTATAATCCTGTGCAAAAGTGTGAGTGGATGTAGATGTGGAGAGGGAGAGGGAGAGGAGGGGTGTCATACATGACACAAGTTGCTACAGTTCCCCGTCAATGAGAACCAAAGACAAGATCGAATCTCGACATGAACGTACCAGGCCAAGAAAAAAACAAATTCATGAGATCTAATATCACCCCATCAATCAATCAACATCACCTCAGGACACGTGGTCGCCACTCACAATTGAGGTTCAGCCAAGAAAATATCTAGACATACTTCAGCATGAACATGAACACGACACAAGAAAGAAAAGAATGCATGGCCAGAAGGACACCAGCAAAAAACACGATGAAATACAGCATGATGCCTTGGGTATGGATGATCGTGACGAGAGACAATGAAGAGGAGCACCGATAGCTGAAGATAGTTAGTTTCGACAGTACAAAGTCTAATATTGTAGCTGTCATGAATCTTAAGTACCGTGCTTTGATACAAGACCAGATGGGACTTACCATACAGGGACGCAGCAGCTGAATATGTGGGATTCACAATCATGAATCCGCAGAATTCAGAAGTTAAAAGGTGATGAGGAGATTTGTGTTTATTTTGAGTCTGCTTTTGTGGAGGGATAAGAGAGGTCAGGTCGCTGGTGTGTATACGGATGTGGGATGCATACCAAGAATCATCATGAACCAGTGTCCTAGAGTCATGAGTCCCTTGAACAGACAGACAAAATGACTGGTCTTTCAAATGGTCCATCTTGAGCATGGTATGAGACCAAGTAACCACCAAGGACAGGAAAGACTCACATTCGGATGACAAGGTTCGTGGATATACAAGCCACAATGATATTACCCGAGAACTGGGACATCACTATTCACCATTGAAATAGAAGTTGGTGATGGAGTAGTAGAGCACTTTCGACCTGGTAGCAACCTCCTTGCAAGCCCTCCGAGTCAGTTGTTGCGCACTTCGCACCGTCATAAGGTTTGTCTGAAGACCCATGACTCCAACAAAACAAATGCAATTTATATTACTAGGTGAGTGCAGGTAGAACAAAAGCAAATGGATCACTGTGACAGGCTCAAGACACCATGACAGCGGTGGCCACTCAGATGTGTCACACATAGTAGTATCAGTTGGACCGAATGTCATGGTTAAGCACTTTATCATCACAGAAGTGAGTACTCGTATACAGTACTGATATGTGGGGAAGTAATACAATATTTTCATCTACCTTCACCTCAATGCATGCTGCTGCTAGTACCAGTCATGAAGCACGGCCGCTAAATGCGATGTTTCCGAATATAGAATTCAGATTTGCGAGGAGGAGGTTGAGAGGCGGGATGTTGCTTGCGTCTGGGACGTCCACGAGAAATTGTAGATGTTTCTCCGAAGTCAGTGTCTGATGCCGAAGACTCGGAGGGAGATGGGGTATACGAGGAATCGCGCGTACATTTTCCAGCTCCTATCTGCTGGGGCTCAGTTTCGGCCTTAATATTGTCGTGCCAACTCACGTATCGAGCGTGAGAGGTCGAGTGTACTGCGCCATTCAACAACGAGACAGTATCGTCCCAATCAATTGAGAACATCGCTCGAGCTTCTTCAAGCCAAGTGACGTCCATGGTCTCGTCGAGCCATTGAGTGAAATTGATGAACATGTCTTTGACTTTCTCCAAACCTCGACGGAGCATGTTCACGATGCCGTCCATCCTGATCTCAGGAAACAGCATCTGGATATAGTCAGAAACTTTCGAATCAGCAACTGATTGTTCGACATTGAAAAAAAAATGTATGCCATGTGCCATGTACTCTTCGTCGTGATCATCAATACTTATCTGTGCTTCACCATCTTTCTTGATCCATACCATATACTCAACCGAACTAAGATGACACCAGTCATGCCCTGTGATCTTGACAGGTTCACCGAGTGTGAATTCTTTGGTGATGAATTGCTTGAGGACCATGGGCCTCTCTGAGGCCGAGAGAGTCTCCGACGCGATGGAGCCCACCTGTGGACACTGGTTTGCCTTCACCTCCTGAACTATCGCTAATATGGCCACAGCAGCCTCCAGATGAGCTCTGATGATCCTCCCCATTCTCTCCAAGGTGCTGGCTACAGTGACTGAGCATGCGCACTCTCCGATGAGCGGAATCAGCAGCTCGTTGGCGAGCCCTTTTGCTTTCATCATACTGGTACATATATTGGGAATGACTGATCTACCCGGGATCTCCAATGTTAAGTTCATGTTGACATCCGAACAGATGAGTTTGTGATTGTATGGAAGAAGTTGCAACGTAGAAGCGAAGGAGTCCTTGATTTTGGTGAAGGGCACTCCATGGACGGTACTAGGCATGTCGACAAGGAGGAGGCGCTCGATATAGTCGTAAGTCAGCCTTGACTTCCCAGTTAGTACATCACCACAAACAGCATAATGTACGCACCTGGGTCTTACTCGGCCCCTCTCTTCCAACACATTTTGTAACATATTGTATTCCCGCACCTCGACACTGTGAAATTCCTGTAATATTTGGTAAGCATGGGAGTTTCGGCCTTGAATTGGTTCAGAATACTATCACACACCATGACATGGCCAGTCTCTGAATTCCTTTTGATCATTTCTTTCAGTATCCTTCACCCATCTTCAAATATTGATCAGAATGGTCAACTATTGATTCTCGTACAACATACTTGAGGTAAGGCGATGATTCAAATGACGCAGATTGTTATCATCCGAGCCACGGTCAAACAAAGGATTTGCCCCGATCATAGCCACAGCAGAAGCTTGAGGTAGCTTGGGCATCTTGTTCTTTTCAGTCTCACGGATACCAATTGGTAAGGATGTTTTTGACTCAGAGGTGATTGTCGTAGACTCAGTTGCAATACCCAGCTGCGGTCTGAAAACTGGGGTGGCTGATTTCACCAGATAACGATTCGGCTGGCCATTTCCAGCCTTTGGATTCCAAGTCATAGGTTGAGGTGTTCCCTGTGGAGTGGAGTTAGTTGTAGTTTCATAGTTTCTATGGGGAGTATGGCAGGCATGGCTAGTGTTAGCTACAGTCAGAGTCGACATGACTGTTCAGTGGCACTAGTGTGTGACGGTAATCTTGACTCCAGATCCTAGGCAGGTGGAGATTGAAAGCGGAGGCAAAAAAACATACACCAAAACAAAAGGAGGTCAACGCGGAACGAAGACACTTGAATTGGTATATCAACAAACACGATGACGAGCACGTTTCATAGCACACATGATACAACATACCCCCTTCTACACGAAATGCACCAGACGTTCTAGGGCACACTCACACAGATTGAACATGTTTTTTGCTTCCGACTTGAAACTCCGCATATGTGGCTGTGCTACATTCTCATGTGCCCTAGAATGTTGGGAATGAGACTAGTGTGACGGAGGCATTGTCACAATAAATGTGATATACTCAATATAGTGATTCGGCAAATGCCACGCGGACTGAGGTTCTATAGAAATGTATGGAGGGAATGAGTAAAAAAGTGAGGTGAAATGAGACGGGAGAAAAGAGTGAAGTGGGGACTACTGGAGTATGATGCATTAGGATGATGACATATAATGGCATCCTCTTCCCTTCTGCCATACCTCTCTGCTCAAACAAGGTTATGGCTTCCAAGCCACGTATGGCGACTTCACTCATCAATTGACTATGATGCTGGCCAACTCGTTGAATTCCTCTTCCTGTTTGGTGTTGGTGTTGACAATAGTGCCACATGCTTCTCGCTCTCCAATCTCCAATCACCATTTGCTTCTTCAAGTTAGCCTCCTCCATCTCCGTCTCACTGAGCTCCTGTTCCACAGTGAGCTTATTCCAGATCTCTTCAAAAAATTCTTCTTGCATGCGGCCAGGACGTCAGCCTTAAGATGTTCGGTCTCGGCCACGTATTTTTTGGGCAAAGAGTTTCCTGGCATTCGTTGGTTGATCTACGGCTTGTTGCAGATGGCATAATCGAGGGTAGAGAGGGTCTCTTTCATGTTGGAACGAGCAGGAGAGATGGTGGCGATTATACACATCTTTGTACGGCCGCCAAGTGAGTCTTGTAAGAGACGGGTGAGTTTAAATTCCCTGTGATTCAAATGTATCAGTGTAACTCTATGACTCATAGATCGAACACACTTACCAATAAGGGATATGTGTCGAATGCTTGGCAAGGGTGTTTATGACACGGCCCAAAGTTGAAGCTTTGGTCGATCATGCCTGCTTCTCTGACCCTTTTATTCTCTGCTCTAGAGCGTCCGATGTTCTCCGAGCCTGCAAGATCAATGATGTTGAACTTACCAACCTTTAGAAGGTCATCTCCCATGGAGGATGTCTCCTTATTGTGAATAACGATTATGAATATGGAGTGCGAACGACTGGAGTGATTGATGAATTTGGTAGCTACAGTCTGCTGACGATGGCTACCTTTTGTGAGGAGGGCAAGTGAATCTGTAGCGTCTTTGACAGCTGTCTTTTCAAGACCCTGAATAAAAACACCTTTCTTGCTAGCGTCATCAAAAAATTTGAGGCCAGCTTGGTTGTCCGCGGGATCATCTTTTCCCATAGGTTGTGAGGATCCTGCAGGAGCGAAGCAAGAAAGTCTAGAAGCTCCTTTACTCACGATAGTGCACTGGCATACAGCCCAGTTGGTCATCAAAGCCAAAGAATTCGAAGTTGGGACTGTGACTTATGCTAGTACCAGAGACCTCACAGCCCCTGATAAATGCTCGATCATCTAAAGCAACTGGTACAAGTAGGCGATGTAATAAGCTGTCACGAGTTTGCATGATGACCCTGGTCGAAGGGACTTCACAAAAGAACAAACTGAGTCTATTGGGAGTTGTGCGGCGGAAACAAGTGGCTAACCAAATGAGGTATTTACCATAAACAGATTGAGAGCACTCAGTGAACGTAATACTAAACGAGTGGAAAAAGAAGGAAGACTCGTGAGCCTTGGGTCATAGATGTAGTAGTCGCCTGAAAACAGACAAATAGCTAGTGCTCCTCCGGCCACTTTATAAAGTCCATCAAATCCAAGTATGATTCCATCATGGTTGACATTGGAGTAGCCGCAACCGCAGCCGTCGCACCAACTGCATCTGACTGAGACTTGGCATGACAACCACAACCCAAGTCAACATTGACTAATGGTTCTGAGCTACGTTTCACGGGACTCTCGACCTCAGGCCTGTCCTTGGAACGGAGTGAAGTGGAGGCTGTCACCCTGTTATGGATAGCGGGGCCTGCAAAGGAATCAACACCATTGTTGAAACTTGTAGTTGAAAACAGAAAGAAAGCTCACCTGTGTGGGGACTATTGAAACTGTGATAGACAAACCTGTCAAGTTTAAGAGCAATCTGGCATCATTTATGACGACCCTTCGATGGGTTGACCATCTGAAACTTCATGGGTTTTCCTGCTACTAGAAGGTCAATGATTGTAGTACTATTGAGCAACATGCACATACATGGGCCCATGGCCACTGCTCTGCGAATACAACTTGAAGAATTGATGGAAGGAGTCCGAGTCAACACGAGGCATAGGCTCTTATATTGACTCGAACTCAGGTTTTATGACTAAATTGCTAACCAAGTGCAACATGAGTGGTCAGTTAAGTCCATAAGAAAGTTCTAAAGATGCTTGTTGATTACCAGACCTCAAGAAAACAATGTAGCAGCTAGCACCGGAGGATGACGACATAATGTGGAGATGTTAGAACCCACTCTGTTATCCGATCAATGATGGTTCGTTTGATCTCAGTGAAAACATGAATTTCATTACATAACCAAAACAATGTACCGTAGACCAACAACTTGCTCACACTACCCAGAAGAATATTTTCATGCATGGTTGTTAGTCCTAATTACATCAATTGTACCAGCAGCTCTGAGAGGTCGCTGACATGCTAACCTGTCATCAAATGCTCCTTGGCTCATAGTACTAGTGGGACTTGGAGAAGACTCCAAAAAGTCCAACTGCTATATTGATTTGGGTTTGTAAAATATTAGATCAACAGGCTTTCATATGGAATGAGTTTTATTATATCTCCCAAGGATACCCTGGACCACATCACACATGATTTGGGTGTTGAGAGCCTGATTTCTAGAATCTTGGAAGGCAAATATTGCGCCACATTGGATCTTTGAGGCTCTATCATCATGTTTCCATAAGTTGTTCGCTTGAGCGAGTGAAAATTTTACCTTGACGGGTACTCTTGCTTTTCGTTGTGGGAAGGCAATTACCTGGGGAAAGTCGAGTCAAAACAATGAGGGAGGCAAATGGGATCCATAGCTACAATCAAGCGAGATGCTATTAATAGAATTTAGATGCAAGCTACAAGAGTTATGTACCCTTCTGTGACCTTCCACGACCCTCTGAAGAGTATCGTCCTTGCCTCTAGGAACCAAGACCGGCACATCAGCATAGTTGTATACAGTAGACTGTTGGGGAGTCATGGAAAGACACAGGAATCAATCCAAATGATATCTTGCCTCAAGTGAGTCAATTAGCCGGATGATAAACAGCAGGAAATATGTACTAAGTACAGAATATCATTGCCATCAAGGATCAATAGTGGCTCTTTGGCAGAAGGCAGAGAGTTCTCCCCATGAAGAATAGCATCCTGAGAAAAGTAAAAAAAAACATGGTAAGTCCTTAAACAGTTTCATGACATCACATCCAGACATACAATGTCAAATGCGAATGCCAGCACAAATGAGGCTGGACTCTGTTGGAAATTGCATGATCTGTTATACTGAAATCCAATTGTGGTGGCCAGCAGAGTTTGCGCGATGCCAGCGAACGGTGAATCTGAAATCAACAGAAGCCATCCGTCGTCCAGTGTTATCTGCTTTGTTAGATGCACCTACATCAAGTGTCAACACATGAAAAACAAAGGTAAGACAATGGATCACTCCTACTGCGAGTTGAGCCAGTGTGCATGCACAGTATGCTCGGCCTCACAGGGGCTGTTGACTTGGACGGTGTTTCTTCGCTGAGTGTGGACGAGGAACTGGTGGAACAATGTCATATATTTGGATCCGGTGTAAAGAGTAGGTTCCTAGTGGGCTTATACTAAAGGTGTTACCTTAAGACTCAAAGTGTGAGTGAGATGTTTGTCCCAAGAGACTGCCTATAGGATTATCTCTTGATATAAATTGCAAGGGATATCTTGTTAAGATCGAGGGTGAGAGAAGGAAAGTATACCTCTAGTACGTTCAGAGTTCCGAAGAATAGTCCGGAGTGTCCGATGAGTTGTCCAAAGCGTCCGGTATAGGTCCGATGTCTAGAAACGAAGGTCCGAGGTTGTGCGAAGCTTCTGGCGAGCTTCCGATGAAACAGCAAGGTTTCCGGTAAAGAAATACAGCGGTTATTGAAGTATAGAACTTTTTTGCATAGTACAACTAGCGAAGTCTGTTGAAAGACTTAAGGATTTCAATAGCAAAATGGCAGCAGTGAAGCTGAACAATTGTTCCAAATGAACAAAGATCAATTGTGAAGTACTAATAATACGGAAGTGACAACTACTAACTATGACTCGAAGCAAGGGAAGTGAAGTGTGTTGCAAGTACCTAGCGAGCCAGAATATATCCTACAACGTGAAAGTCCGGAATCTGCATAGGTGAAAACTGTAGCGAGATAAGACATCTGAAATGTAATAAAACACAAGGCAAGCCGCTATGAAGATATACATGTAATAATGCACGAGGAGCATATCTATACATATTAGCAAGGGTTTTCGACGTACATGCCCCTAGACATAATCAATAATAGATAATCAAATGAGAAATGCACCAGCGAAGTCAAACGGACAAGGACAGGACATGGTATGGAGGATCGGAAAAGCTAGAAAAGGCCTCAGAAATGGACGGATGACCTTCAGACGACTCAGACAAGTGCGCGGAACTTTCGGAAGATTGGAAGTGTGTCGAGGAATATAAAACATGATTATCACCAGATACGTGTCCAACACCAGCCCGAGTGTTACACCGGGGAAGTGCGTGCATAAATTAATTTCTAGCCTGCGACGGTGAGGTCATGTGTGGGTGTCTCATGCGGAGATAATGAGAGTGGTGTGGGTAAGAGGCGTGAAGAAGAAATTATTGCTGCAGGTGATGCACCTGCTGATCTCGGGTGACACGAGGCTTTTGGGAGCAAAGACTGGGGTTGTTCGTCATACTCATGAGGGAGAGATGGGCAACAACCAGACGAAGGCGAGTCTTGAGGTTGTAAGTGTCTTATTCAAGAGAGCCTGAGCTCACAAAGAGTGCTATTTGAGTGGCGCTTGTGGGGGTGAGAGCATTATCAATAGAGCACTTAATCGAATGGGCAATGATCTCAGGGATGATGCCATGCTTATTTGGACGATCAGGATGGGTGCCATGTATAAGAAGGATGCGAACGACGCTTGTGTGGCCGTTTGCAGCAGCAAGATGAACTATAGGAGTGGCAAAGTCGCACAATATTTGAAGGGAAGTCTGTAGATAGTATACATGATCAGAATCATGGATTAATACAGAAACTTACCTTGACGCATCAACACCTGTTGCATTTGATGAAAAGATCAACTGTGAGAATACAAGCAACAGCTGTGCTAAATAACCTTGAATTGCATGACAGCATATCCTATAAACTGATGGTGCCTGAAGTGAACAATTCGTCAAGATACATAGCAGACTACAATATTGAGTAACACACCATCTCAGGCTGGAAGCTCACGTACTCAGCAGACCTAAGTGAGATGAAGTCCAAGGTGGAGAAGAAACTTGCAGGAGGCCAGATGACCTGGGTGAACTTCACAAATGGAGCAGAAGCTCGGAGAACATCAGATGTGACACCATCACCCGGAGTTACTCAGACTCCCACGTCTTACTAATACTATGAACATGAAATTGAATTGTAAGATCATACATACACCGGAAGAGACCAGAAGAGTATGACTGGGTATGTACCAGTTCCTGAGTCTGGGTCCATCACTTCAAAGCGCGATCTGAGAAGCTCTATGTATAAAGCTTGAGTGTTGAATTCCATTCTTGTAAAGATCGTCAGGGTGTCGACTGTGTGACAGTCAATCATAAGATACTGCCATGAAAAGCTGGATGCGCACTTACTAGATGTGATTACACAAACTACACCATGATCCATCAAGCCCTCCAATAAACGCCTCAGAATCATGGTGTCCACAATATCCATAACTTGAAACTCATCAAAGCATAGCACATATGCCTCCTTTGCCAGGTCCCGTGCAACAGGACTGATGGGATCGCCACCAGAGTGTCCCATGAGCAATTTAATAGTGTGTCTGTGTTTATGTGCATCGATCATGAAGGCGTGGAAGTGCACATGACGCTTGCGTGTGATAAAAGGGGGCAGTGTTTGGTAAAAGAGTGTTAAGACCATGCACAAAGGGTAGGACTGATTCTGAGGGGCTTGGCTTCAGCTCGTGCGCTGCGCCCCTTACCCGAGTATGTGCCCTTAATTTCAGATTGGTGTCCGAGGAAAGTCCGAAGACGTCCGAAGACGTCCGAAGGACATCCGAAGGCGCGGGAAACTTCGGAAGGACTTTCCGGATGGGTACAAGTAACTTCCGGATGAGTGCGGGAAAGTTCTGGAGGAACTTCCGGAAATTACAATGGGGTTTCGTCCTAATACAGATACGTGTAATGGCTACTCAGGACTTGTCCTGAGTAGAAGCAAACAGAGGAAAGGCTGCAAGGACAAAGTCCGAAGCAGAATAGGTCTGGAGGACCACGGGAAAGTTCCGGATGAACTTCCAGAACTTCGGATGAGCGGAGCTCTGGCCTAGGGAGAAACTCCCTAGGCCTGAGATGGATATCAACTAAGTTGGAAGACTAGAACTGATATGAGGACTTAGAGTGAAGACTAGTGCGAGGACTAATATGATATTCAGACTGAGGTACTACAAGACATATACACGAGTTTATATACTAAGAGAAATAACGGAAGGATCAATAAGCAGAGTCTGAGGCTATGTATGAAGCATATGCAAAGGTTAACAAATGCAAGTCAGAAATGAACATAGGTTGATGGATCAGTAAGCATACCGGTAATAGATATAACCGAAACAGCGGAATAGAGGAAATACTGAATAGGCTGTGTATAACGTTATAAGAACAGGAAATGAATTAGGAAGCTTATCTATATCGGATTGGAAGCGGATTTATACATCGGATCGGACCGGATCGGATATGGTCCAGATGAGATGCGTGGATATATAGGATGTGGCATTAGGGCGATGGGACAAGGATGAATGATGCAGGCTAGCTGCGAAGGATAAGGGATCTGGATGTGGACATGCGGATGTGGATGTGCAGAGGTGCAGGGATCCGGATGGGTACTGGAGACATGGATAGCACATCCGAAGGTCCGGATGAGGCATGGGAATATTATCGGATGTAGATCCGGAATACGGGATATGACAAAGAGGAGCATTGTCTTTCCTGTGCCAATGTCGCCATAAAGATAAAGACCCTTTGGTGCCAATGCAGGTGCCGTTCCTGGTACTGGAGGTGCGTGAGAAAACAAACAAGATATCTAGCAGCAAGGGGTCAGTGATCCTGAGAGAAAATGAAAGAAAATCACCAATGAATCACTTGTCCTCGCTTCAAGTATAGGTGGGGGGTTGTACTCGAGTACCTGCTCCCAGAAATGCTGAAGTTTTCCGACAATACAAAAGTAAGAAGATGATCGAGTTCAACAGCCTGAGTTCTTGTTATCAGTTGAAAGGCCAACAGTGGTCGAACACAAGATGAGGCATTGTGAAATGATATGACACAGTATTGTTAGAGGTAGTTGGCAAGGGAGATGTGGAAAGGCGAATGACATGATGATGTCCCATATTTTCGCAAATTGAGTAGTCAGATCATTGATCCATAGACGTAGAAATTCAACATGTGAATGAATCAAGTGACAAACAGAAGTTACAGAACACCTGCATGCCGCTGTCTGCAAGGTTGGGTTAGTAGTACTAGATGAGACCGATGGCAAAGAATACTATGAGTCTGGGGATTAGAGACATTGAGAAGGAACAAGGCTGGCATGTGCTCCCTGTGATCCATGTGTTGCAAGGAGGACATAGCCAAGCCATCCTTATTGATAACCAGCAAGTCATGCAGCCAATATGATTGCTGAGAGTCGTTGTGAGTGTAAGAGGTGACAGACATATTTACCCGGAAGCAATGCGCGTGACTCCACCTGAGCATTATGTTAGACTAGTTGTGTCGAAAGTGCATAGATTGTTGAAGGTGGAATGAGAGAGCTTGTAGCAAGAGGGAAATAACTAGGTAGATGAGTCATAGAAGTTAGTAATGAATAGAGGGTGATCTCTTATTAGAAGCAAAGACCTCGCCCCTACCCGATCATTCGAAGGAGAGAAGCGCAGATAAATGTTTTAGAAGCGCATCAAAGTCATATACTAAACTCACAGATCAAGCATAAATAAGTTAGTCTCATCATTGCTCCAATTTGCAAGCCATAAAACCAACACACCAGGACCGGTATACAACTCAAGCTATTCAAAAAGACAGATGGTCATCCTCATCCTCCTCCATCTCCCAGTGCTCAGGATCATCCTCATTGAACTCTTCACAATCCCACTCGTCTTCGTCTTTGCACTCATCACCTTCACCCTCACCATCACCTTCGCATCATTGAATATCGCTCTCCTGAACCTCCTCTTCATCACTCATATTGTCCTCTGAGCTTGGGGGTTGTCGGCCAGCTCTGCATTGGCGCAGTCTCTTGTCATCTCCCGTACAGCAGCAGGATGGCCTATTCCGTAGTGCATATAACGCATAAACATATCTCGATCGACGAATCTGGGCGATTAACAGCTTTAGTAAGTAGTATGAGATGGAGAATGGGGCATACATTCCAACATAGTGTGCTTCCCAATCGTCCGATTCATCATTTTGATGCGCAAATGATGTTCCGTGGCGGAGAGAAGTTGTTCCACGGCCATAAGTAAAAGCCAGAATTAAATGTGCGCTTCTGATGACCTGACCGGGATCAAGAAAACCGAACGCATCATGGTCGGATTCTTCAACAAAAGCAACCTGCGGGAGTCGAGCGCAGTGAATCCCTGACCGGTAGTCAGTCAAGGGTGCCAACCACCTGACATAAAGAGCTTCTATTTGGTGTTTCTTCATCGAACCTTCAGCATTGAGCCATATATCCATATGATAAATGCCCAGAACACGAGCATACCAATAGGGATGACAAGGCCTCGTTTCCCCAGATAGGACCATGATGTCAGGATGTGTACTCCCGTCGTAAGTCGTGTAATGTACCTGTGAAGTTGAAAGATCATATCCTAGCAAAATATGTAATACACATGACATACCTGCATTGTTCGGACACAGTATATTTTGTTGTCCGGGATGATGACCATATTGCACTTGTCATCGGTAAAAGTATAATCGCAGTGACTGATATCTAACCCTCGAAGTCGATAGAGTATATAATCCTTGAGTTTTGGTATGAATCCCTGCAACTTATCATAAGCAAAATGAACAACGCGGAGAGTACTAGTACCTACTGCTACAGCTAGATCGTTATCATGCTGTTGCAGAAATCTGAAAATATATAAAGGATTGTTGTGGTTAAGCACTGGTATATAGTGATGATCCTTGAGATCTCCAGGCGAGTCAGTCAGTGTCTGCTTGCTAACGTATGAATTGGGTCCTGTCTCCGCCATGCGCCGAAGGATACATCGACAATGCTCGTGCTGAGCAAGTTGAGACGGGGTGTCTAGTTTGTTGGTCAATGGATAGAACACTTTCAGCGCTCTATGCACCAACTCTCCCTGGCCCGAAATTATGATGAGTCAAGAGAATTTGACAGAGTTCCACGTACAATTTGCGTGGTGAATGAGTCCGTTGTTCCAAAGAGCTGGATAGATCGCATGTAATCTCCCATGGCATGAAATTTATATGTGTTTAAATTGAACTTCTTAGTATTTCGACCGTTACTTCCAGTGTCCGGATTGTTGGGACCTGAGCACTCATGAGCAGCCTTTTATTTTGGTAGCTCTGTTGTGGTAAAAGCGGCACATGTGAAGTCACTGAACTTGCGCAACTAACGAGAGAGTTGTTTGAACGTCTCACCCAAAGCCGATAAAGTAGTGTTGGAGTGCATCCGTAGTTTCGCGAGGGCGTGCCAATGTGCAAACCTATACAGAAGCGATTGTATCATGACATCATGGTCCCTTGGGAAAAGCCCTTCGAAGACTGGCATAGCATACTAGTATGGGTATTAACGACACAGATTGGCACAAGAAGCAACAAGACAAACCTGTAAAATGTCTTCGAAATCTCGTGCTGCAAGTTTTTTTCATTTCCGAGGTGTTATTCGTGAATCTGCGAATAATACCATTGCCATATGATGGAACATTACGAAATCTAAGCTTAATAGCATCAGTTTCATAATTAGAAAGACAAATGTCAATGAACCTGCTGTCAAGTTGTGCAACGAGACCTTCACCACCAGGAAGTGCGTAAAGTAGACGAATGAGATGAGTAAACAACACTTTCCATGTGCCTAGCTCAATTTCATGCATGAAATTGATGACGAGCATGCGAAAAGTATTGAATCCTAACAGACCAAGCTTTTCTACAAACATGTTCTGGTCGAGAATGAGATAGTACATTGATCCGATTCATTCCGAAGTCCTCACCATAGTTGGCACCCATGATCCTTCTCCAAGGACTGTCTGAACTTTCAAGCCATTAACAGTATACCCAGATCCATAGATGAATTTGCGAGCCTCAGTCACCCTCACAAGAGAGTAAGCTCTGAGATTGGCTATGCGATCTCGCATGTCACTGAAAAGACCCAACAAATTGAATGAGGCCTTTG